CAATTCACCCTTTAGCTAAATACCTGGGCAGCTGTTTTGTGTCAGAGTTGGGACCAGCTGAGAGAGACAAGGGAGAACCGCAGGGGCCGGAAGGGCTGGTAAAGAAGTATTCAGATTCGAGTCCTGCACAGTGGACAAGAGTATGCATAATTCAGTCATACTAATTAAATCAACACTGTGAGGCTTTGTTCCTAGTATCTGTGGACATCTTTTCTAGGACCTAAGTTGTCCCGTGGATCTTCTAGATCATGCCTATGCTTTGTACGGCCTCTCTTTTCCCAGTTTAGTTTAGGATTTGAAATGGTAATTTACACATAGCTCAGCCACTTGAACTCCAATATCACTAGTAAACTGAGCTGTCAACAAAAGAAAGCTACTTGGTCTATAGAAACCACTGTGGCCACAGTTTTAGAATGGAAGAATTAGAGCGCTTCATTCTTGCTCACCTTTCAGAATGGAAGAAAGATCATAGGTAAGGAAAAAAAAAAAAAAAAAAACACATTGGTATCAATTTTCTCCGAACTAATGAAATTCTAGAAAAGTATGCAAGATGAGGGCAGGCTTTTCTATCAACCAAGGGGCTCACGTACCACTTTTAGTGAAAAAGAATGAAAGGTTGGACAACTGGGAAGATGGATAGTGATTATTTTCCTTGTCACTGGCAGGTTTGCTGGGGCTGCCTAGGCCAGGAATCAGGGAGGTGACAGCTCCTCACTTGGTTGACTTTCCATCTACCTGCATGTTTGCCTAAAGCTATAGAGATCTTGTGAACAGGAAAAGTAGAAGTCCTCTTCCTGACAAAGCTCGTCCTTCTTGTACCAGATTTGTGAAGTTATCTAACAATTATTTATTTTTCTCACTGTATTATTTCAGATATCTAGGCTTGGAAGTTGTCGCTCTCTTCATAAGGGACAGTAATTATTATCCTATACGGTATAAACTATTTTCAAGAAGGTAATTCAAATGAAATTGTAAATTTAAAGAAGTTGGATTTACAAGTAAAAATATTCTTCAAATTTAAAATGATAATATTCTTTTTATTAGGAATATTGGTAATGTTCTATTCATTGCCCATGAGTGTGTGTGTTTGTGTGTGTGTGTGTGTGTGTGTGTGTGTGTGTGTGTGTGTGTAAATGCATATGGAGCAACTATTATGCTCAAAATACTGGGAACTGTGGATATAAAGCTAAATTAAACATTCTTTGTCTTAGATGAGTTTTCCTTATAAACTGCTTTGGAAATAATAAAATTTCAATTACACTCAGTATGACTTTAACTTTATCTCTGACCAAGAAAATTAGTACTTAAATTGCCATCAAACTTCTCCATTACATTTGTATTTATTTAGTAGGTAAACTAATGTCATAGGTAGTCAAAACCAGTACCTGAGACTTGTGACCCTCTACTTCAGTTAGAAAGAAATATGGCTCTCTAAATTTTGGGTTTTTTTTTTTTTTTTTTTTTTTGTATTTTGAGACAGTGTCTCTCTGTAGACACAGATGGCCTGGAACTCGCTTTATAGACCAGGTTGGCCTCGATCTCACAGAGATTTGCCTGCCTCTGCTTCTTGAGTGCTGGGATTAAAGACATGTACCACTATACCTGGCTTTCCCTAAATATGTTTGACATTCTGCTGTGGAGTAGCCCAGGAATTTCAATGCATGTTCTTTCGTCACCATAAGAAGGCAGACCAAACTGTCTGTTATAATAGTCATGCCATTTCTCTATTATATAGAAAATAGATTTTATAAAGTCTCTGAAATATTTTGTAGTTGCTATGAAAAATGGGGAAATTTAATTATTAAGTCCCATGTAGCTTAGTTTGAACTGAATATAAATGCTAGTATTTCAAACAGGGAAAATCTGAAATACACTTTAGATAAAATGAGAGATAGTATATATGCTCATTCAGTTTTCAGAAGGCAGCTATATACCAAATCAATGCAGTGTGCAATTGTAGAACTTAATTAAAATATTATCTATGAAATATTAACAGCTGCAGCTATTAAAATTACATTAAACTCCTCTAAGCTAGGCCCCATAATATGAGCTCCATTTTCAATTATTTGGAGAGCACAACTTGGCTTTGGTTTTCATATTGTTTGTTCCAACTCACTGATATGAGAGTTTAATCATATAAAAGCACTTTACCATCAAACACCACCAAGCAGAGTAACTTTCACCCTTCCATTGGATTCTAACAAAAGCCCATGCTTTATTTTCTGTCTTAGTTGGTAAATAAAACTTTTTTAGAGAACGTTTCTAGTCATTCAATGTGGAACTTATCCATGTAAATTACAGTAGATTTTATCTGCTTTTGACATTTGCAAACTAGGATTTTAATATAACAGTCAATAAACGATAAGCAGCTTGTGTAAAATAAAGAGGTAGATTTTATTTGCTCTTAGTTAAGGTATTTACTTAATAATTAATAATATTGCATTAGCACTTTCTCTTTATAATGCGCTCCATTGAAAAGCTCAAGTCAGTTTTTTTTCCCCTTAGGTCTATGCATGTATGTTCAAATGTGATATGTGTGTATACATATATACATATAAATAACACATACATATATACACATAGACATAGTTCATATAGATGAAATACTGAAAATAAATATCTAAAACTATAAATTTCTTTTACTAAGATAATAGAGTAATAGATGGCTTTCTTTTTATATTCTTTTTCATTTACAAATAATTTGATATTCATTATGTATTTTCATATCGTTAGCTAATATCTCATTTATATGTAAATGAAGTGTAACTGAACTGAAGTTTGGTATGTTTAACTATTCTGAACTACCAAAAGATACCAGGATAATCTGATTTATTTTATACTTTCATAAAATAGGAATTTAAAATTCCTCCTCTTAAAAATCATTTCTGAAATTTCATTCTCAATATACCCTAATTCCAACGATACTATCCACAGTTCAATATTTCAAAGCATTAGATTATGCCATGCCACCCACCCTCATTTTAATTCTGTTAGAAAGTTCATAAGTAGAAAATTAGGTTCTATGTCTTCTAGAGACAGACTGGAGGGACGAGGTATGGAGAGAGGGAGACAGTCTATTATTGTTTTTCTGCATTCTCATCTGTCAACTTGTCTAAGCTTACATCAGAAAAATGAAGAGGAATGCATTTCCCTGAAGATTTCTTTAGGGGGATGCGAACATTTAGGGAGATCAAATTTCCAGAAACAGAGAAATCATACAGATTTCCTGAGACAAATGAGAGTTGGAGAAATGTGTTCTGAGCTTCCTCTTATTCTATATTTTCACTCAAGCTCCCTCTCAGTTTTCATACTTTCCGTTCCTTTCTTTTATTGCATGAAAAGGTATCTACGGAAATGTAAATGTAACATTCTTGATTTATAAACAAGGTGGAAAGACAGAGAATAGGATAACAGAAAAAGATTTCCCTGCAGAAGCAGCAAATGACAGTGCTGTGCATTAGGGAGGGTAAGGAACAGAGCTCACACCAGGATTTCAGCACGTGCCTCTACAGGAGGATTGTACCCAGTGACAAGATTTCAAAGAAGCTCCAGGTGCCTAGAGATTCACAGTTCTTAAATTCGATGACTCACTGCTCATCTGCAAAGTTCATTAAGAATCCCGAATTTTTAGCCCTATCATGCCAATTCTCCTTCATTATGGGGTTTCCTAGTTGTTTTATAGATGAAGAAAACTAAGGCCTATAAAAATATCTTGGTCAATCTTATAGTATTATTTAGTAGAAAAATCCAGAGTATAGTGTAGCTAGGCCTAAGTCAGATGTTTTCTATTGTAGTGTATAAATGAGGACTGTGTGAAAAGACTAAAGGAGATACTATGTAGTTGTAAATTAAAACAGATGACCATGATTTAGGGTGATAAAAATGCTCTGACCACAGCAATTTAGGCGAGAAAGGGTTTACTTTAGATCTCAATTCCAGATTACAGTCTACTGTTGCTGGTCAGTCAAAGAGGCAGAATTTGAATCAGCTAGTCCCATTCTCAGTGAAGAACAGAGAGTGAACGCATGCACACGAGTGCTCAGCTCACTTTCTCCACTCTTAAAAAGTCCAGGCAGCAAGCCTAGGGAATGACGCCACCCACAGCTGCTGGGTCCTCCCACCACTATCAAGGTAATCAAGATGACTCCACATAGACATGCCCCTACAGGTCAACCTGACGAAAACAGTCCCTTCCGGTAAGTCTAGATTGTGTGAAGTTGAGAATTAAACTAATCATCACACCTTCTTTCCCTCTTTATGTCCTTTCTTCTTTCCACCTATTATAATTTCCATAAATGTCAGTTCTCTGCCTGGAAGATTTTTTTTTTCCTTTGTGCATTTTAGAGTAAAGTTAATACTAGCCAAACTCTAATCCCAATAAGCAACTTCCAAATGGCTGTGGAAATGTTATTTATGATAAATTCTCCCTGCCACCCTCTCTCCTCCTCCTTAGAGGAATGAAGTACAGGAAAAGGATGCTGGAAGAGTAACACCTGCTGGTAGAATTCCAAATATCTTAAGGAAAAGCTGGATGAGAAAGAATGTTGAATGCTACTGTATTGATTAAAGTGTTTTTAGTTCCATAGATCTGACCCAACACCAGATAAAATAATTTCATTTCATGGATCGATTTAATTTTTTGATGTTATATTTGAGAGGCTCAGGTATGTTAAACACCTAATGACATAAACAAATTGTGATTATAAGAACTTTAAATTCTGTTGTCAGCAAATTCAAGATAAAATTTCTCGCAAGATCTGGCACTTGTTTAACGAAGAAATGTTTGCTAGAGAAGCTTTTCTAGAGGCCATGTAAATGTTTGGGTTTTGATACTCAAGCACAATCATCAATTAGATTATTCTGATTTTTACATGAGATGAAACACAAACAGTAATGATTTCCTTGCAATGCAGGGAATCTTTGATAGATCTTAGTTTTCACTCTACAGAAAGATAAGGTGTGGGCAGGGGTTCTAACGGCATTGTGAAAATTTAAATTACCTGACCGTCCATCTCTCTGGAAATCCACATGATACCATTCTCCATCATTGACTTTCTTCTGCAGTGCTTTTATTTTTATGGTACCCGACCCCATGTCCAAGAGGAGGTACAGGTGGCCGTCCAGCATTTCAATAGCAAAGAAGTCAACCTTAATCATCTGTGGGTGCTTGGCATCTTTTTGATGCCTTGGCTTGCCATGGCTGAATAAGATGAGGCCATTTGGCTCTGTTGTACGGAAATCAAACGAGATGGAGCCTGTTTTCTTTGCATTCCATTTGGGTAAAGAGATGAAAGACTCTGGGGTTTCAAAAGTGATTGGGTCTAAAGTTGCAACGTTTTCACATTTAAATGCCACCACTCCATGGATCTTCATCTTGGCATCTCCTTGCTTGGCAAGTCGAGAGAGTTCCAATCTTACATCATTATTTTTATATACAACCTGTGGGCAGAGAAAAGCAATGAGAAACTAGACTTCGTATTTAAATATATGGAACTTGTCAGTGGTTCATGGAACTATCAAGTAGGTCATGAGAAAGCACAAATTATTGACTGATTTTGTTGTGAAACTATTTTTTTTCCAAACAAATAAAATTCTTCTATTAATTCATTGAAGGTGACCATTCAATTTTTTTACATGTACTGAACTCAAATGATAAAGTAATCTGTATAGTGATTTCATTATCATTTCTATATTAGCATGTGAAGACCTGAATTTATAGAAGTTATTTCATTAGTTATTATGCTTTTTAAGTGAAATGTAAGTATTGAGGTTGTTCCATTTTTCCAAAACTGAAGTTATTAAAAATCGGGCATGTTTTTATAGTCAGGTCTCTTAATGTATCTCTTCTATAGTAGATGGACAGGTAAAGATAGACAGATAGATGATGATAGATAGATAGAAAGATAGATAGATAGATGATAGATTAGATAGTTGATGTAGAGATATGTATATATTTATTTCTGTGAATCTTTACAAAATAATTATGACAAGTTGATGTGGAAATTTTTCCAAATATCTTCACTAAAACTGAGATTCCAAAGCCCTGTTTTGGTCTGCCCTGAGTAAATAGCTGAATGCTGTTGGGAAACATGAAACTACCAGATGTGAAGCACTGTGTTCACTAATCCATTCAGCATGCATTCCTGATGTATAACTATTTCTAATTTATACAAATGTCAGATAAATGTTGTCCTAAGCTCTCATTTTAAAATCATTCCTACTAAAAAGGTAAGGAGTTCTGGTAGCTTGCGGATAGTCCCAGGGCCCTTTGAACAACAAATGAAAATAAACTCAGTGGCAGAACTCATAATAACATACATCTGCTATTATACCACATTTATTAGATAATTAAGTATAAAGAGAAAATTGTATCTTTTCTCTAAAAATTGCACATGATAGTTATTTCTAAAATACATAGCGTATACTGACTTGAGCGTAAATTAGTTATCTATATCAAGATAAATATAAATCCATCTAAGGGACTGAAAATTTCATAGCTAATAATTTTGCCAAATTTTAAATTCATTCATCCACACACAAAATGTGTACATATTAGGAAAAGTTAAACAGCATGTATCTGCTTGTATCTGATCATTCAGGGTTATGGTGTCAAGGAAGCCAGTGCAGTAGGAATTTCTTACAAAGTCATGACTAATCGAACCAAGACATGATTTGTTAGCTCAAGTCAATGAGCTTCCTGAGATGATTTCTTAGTGAATTCTTTCTCAATCACTCTCAGTGATTTAGAGTACAAGGTTTTGTATCGAATCAGAGCTCAGATTTAGATGCAAACAGCACAAAAAAAGTGTGATCTTGCCAAGTCTAGTTTTGCTCCCTTAAAAAGGTAACACTTCACAGGATGAAAGTAATAATTAAATTAAAAAATGCATGGAAATGAGAAAATCTATATAAAGACTTAGATAACATCAGTTACATCTACCTAGACGAGAATATATTAAGATCTCTTTTTATCATATGAGAGTTACCTCTGTATTTTTTTTCACTAGGAAACATGTTAAGAAATGAAACCCACACATATAATCAGTTTTTATATTTGATTTTCACCCAATAAATAAGTCACATCTCTTTAGTGCTGAGCCTGCGGCTTGTTTCCTTCATCTCCAAGCAGAATTACTATAAAATGTATGATATACTTTATTCTATGAATAAATGTGTGCAATGACTTAACAAGCATCTATTGACAACAGAAGAGAAAATGAATTTCAACAATAACAAAATGAATTACACTAATTCTTAAGAATACTGTCTTGAAAAGAAGAAGGGCTATTAAGCCCGGGGAAAGTTGATTTAGGATTGTCTTGCTTTGGAGATCTTTAGCAGTGGAAAAAATGCTTTTCATGGGTGATTTTCAGTTTTCAGTAAGACCTTTCATCATGACTTTCTTGCTGCTCAGTCTGTTAATTTTTCATTTCTCATGGCTTATATATTAATATCTGCAGACAGTTTGGACATTCATTGGGATTAAACATTCTCTAATGTGCATAATAAAGATTATCATGATTACTTCTTTTGACCCACATTTTGTAATTACTCTATTTTTCCAAAGTTAGACTTACTCTTAAAATTACCTGAATCTAGTTCAATTAGAATAACAAGTGACTGTTAAGTATTCAAAATCATCTTGAAATTCATGTGTAAGCTGTTTTGTCTTTTTTGAAATAACATGATGCTCAATGACAGGGTTACTGACAATTGTTCATATGATCTTTCTTATGTAGGAAGT